TTCTTTTTGCGAGCTGGGCATTTTCTTCCAAAAGAAACGAACCTGGCCCGCATTTGTCTCGGCGCTCGTGACTGTAAAGTCTTCCCTGGTCGCCTTATTGCAGAGGGCATGAGATTCACCCCGACTTATAGTCCCCCTTAAGTAGATAGAATATGGGGTATATGGGGATCTTATCATTATTCTATCCATAGCCATATTCTATCTACTTAAGGGGGACTATAACCACCGAAATTCAAAACTTTTCTTCCACGTTCGGGATGCCTTCTTGCCTCTAGGCGGTCTCCGATGTGAAGAAGCTGGTGTCCTGAGGGCACTTCTCCGTCTTTGTGCCGCAGAAAATGTTGGGCACCTTTTGAAGCCGAAGTTGAGAAGCAGGAGAGACTAATATAGGGGCCTAAATAATTACCAATACAATTTTGAGGTCTATTTGAGGTGCCCTCTATACTAGTTATATAAGGAATATGGAACCATAATATTGGTAACTATTTAGGCCCCTACAGGGATGAAGCAGTATGCGAAGAACAAATGTGTGTCGAGGGTTCAGGGATTGCTGGGATTGTGAGACAGCATCCGCTTTGTCCCCACTTCAGGGTTTGAATGTGAGTTACGACATACCGTCACAGCGTCACAGCACGTGGCTTCAGTGACTTGGAGGCTCTAGCTGGAACGTGAGGATACCAAGGTGGGAAGTCGTTTGAGCAGCTCCGCCCAAACAGCAGGGCTAGTGCAGGGCCGGATAAGACTCAAAAATGCCATAGAGATTCAAATCCCACCTGGCCTTGCCACACCATCTTCAACAAAAGCAATGGGTTCCCATTTTTCAAGAATTCCAATGTTCACTTCAGAGGCCCCCAGAAAAAACCAGCGACAGAAATCTAGTGAGCAGCAATCACATTCCGTTAACGGGCTGCTACATAGAAGTAGACTGCCTGGTCGCCCTTGTCACCGCATGCGTTGTTGCCCGCTCCCTATGCTACCATAATCTTCATAAACTTCCTTGGGGCCTGTGCTTATGACCTACCTGAACCCCAAAAGTATGTAGAATAGTAGCCTTTGGGGCTGTTTTTGAGGCTCCTGGCTATTATGTTAACTACTTTTGGGGTCCAGATACTTGTGGACAAAGGGCCCAGGCAAAGGGAAATGCTTCAGACAAACCAGGCCTCGTAGCAGGCAGGCCTGCCCCCAAGGCCTTCATAGGCGCTGCCTGAGTTTACGTTGCAGGCGATGCACATGCAGATGTACCTGTATAGCTGTATACCTGGACACCAAAAGTAGATAAAATGATAGCCCAAAAGCCCTGAAAAAGCCCAGAAGGCTATGATTCTAGATATTTTTGGGGTTCAGGTACATACTTACTGCTAAGTTCTAAATGCCATTCTGGGGAGGTAGTGAGATGAAAGATCCTTTGCTTCGGGGACCCTGAACTTTGCGCGGAATGTGTACCTCACAACTACTTGCGGACAAGCACTCAACAGCGCCAAAACAGACCGAACTTTTGGCAACGGCCTAAACCCATCCAGAGGCAACGTATTGAAATGCTTAAGCCTGAAAACCCTAAACCAACCGGAGAACCGCAATACTTTGGAGGCGCTGAAGGAGTGCCATCTGCAAGCTAGGAATGATATTGCTGCCAGACAAAATCTGTCAACCACCATCACCTTTTATTTTCATAAGGACATGAAGGATTCAGTTCATCTAATGCCATTAACACAACAGCACTTACAGTCTTAGAGTGAGAGCTGTCACGACGACTGGTTGCACGTCGTTGAGGCGCAGAAGCTCGTGACTGTTGGGAGTTCGCCCAATACCGGCTCCTTGCCTTTCACAGGAGCCTCAGCTGAATGTCTGCATACTGCTGATGCAGGAAATCTTGCACCACCCTAAATCCCACAATCCCTAGGAATTACACGCGAAGTGGTAAAAGATTTCCTCCATTTACGGTCATAGGCGTAGCAGGCAGCTAAGAAGGAACATGATAAAACAAAAACAAAGCTTAGCCATGCCTAGTACCTCATGATGATGTTCATACAGCATCAGAGTACTAAAGATACTTGAAGTTTCGCATGACGATGATAGTAAACAACATCACCAGGATCTTGATTGACTGGGAATGACTCTTCCTACGTAACAACCAAAGATGCTATACAGGCTATACACCCTCAGTCTTCCTGAAAAAGGATTCCTGGAATCAAGATGTACGGATAGGATTTGGGGTGTGCCCTAAAACCTAGACCTGTACCCTTTGGGGCACAGATGCTGGAGATTGCCATCACGGCACAGAAGCCTGCCTTGAACTGCATATGAACTCCCCACACACTCCATGAGACATGACTTCTACAAATTTCTAGCCTCCAAACAAGTCAAGTGAGCTGCATGCGCTGTAGTCTAAGCTCCTAGTATCCCCCTTAATGACCCCTATAATACTCCCCTATATAATCCCCTATGTAACCCCCTTTAAGGAGTTTATCTAAACTACAGTCCACATGGAAACCTATTACTACAGAGCCACCCAAGCTCCGACGTCCGCACCCTTGATTTCAGAACCTGCACTCATACAAACCCGGAACCGTCATCCCTGTGGATTCTCACACCATCCACAAGACTGTGCAAAACGCACACGTTAGGAGTACCTCCCAATTCAATCACCCCTATAAAGCCTCAATCTTTGATGTAAGCCCTAAACCCCACAATCTCAAACCCTGAAGACAGGGCAGGTCGCTGCACAGGCACAGCAGCCCCCAAGGGATACGGACTCTTCGGTGATTTTCTCAGACATCCTTGCGACTTATTTTGATCCAGGGTGTCTTGGGCACTTTGTCGGAATTCGGGGCAAGTGTCTGAACAGTATGACACCCCCTCCGCTTTATACGGCAGCTGCTCTCTTGCAAAGGCCTTTGCAAAAGCTAGTACGAGGCCCAAGGGATGGCAGCAATTGCGGGTTGACGGGCCATATATCGTACGCAGTATGGGCCTTTATGCCAGAACAGCGGAGTATGGGTCTATGCTTCCGCAATAATACTACATCCGAACTTTCGGACTATCTTTGAAGTCCGGTTGATGAACGTTTTCGACGCCAGCCGCTTTTCATGATCGGGGTCTAAGGGAAGTCCTGGTTCTGGGAATAAGACGGACGTCGTTGAGTTGTAGTTGAGTTTACAGCCTGCTGACTAAGCCGGCCTAGCCTCCAAGTAGGGTGACAAGAAGCAAGACTCCGTTTCTTTCCGGGTATGCACCCTCAAACCCGAGCCCCAAGTCCTACCCTGGTACTGTAGGGAAGGATGCTTCAGGTCTTAGTGTACGCCGTGAGGGCGAGTTTATGGGTTTAGGGTTTAGGTGTCAAAGTTCTTGTGGCCTGATGGATACCGCGATCTGCGGTAGGCTTTCATACCCGACCCTTGGTCACTGTATCTTGTGGGCGCGTGACAGATTTTCAGACATCCCTTACTTTTCTTAACTTAGGGAAGGCTGTGGCGAGCCACATCCTTGACGCTCCCAAGCTTTGAAGGAACCTAACGGTGCACGGCCTGAGCCACGTAAGTACTAAAATTGTCAAGGCCTGTCTGCATATGTCTAAACCCCTTGAGACGGGTCATATGTGAGCAATTATATCGGGACCACCATAGAGATATGCAGGGGGATACAAGGAGTTTAGACGATGGCCCATATGCATTTCAAGAACCCATTGATGCCCATGCTCAGTATCCTCAGTATTCTACCCCGCAGACAGTGATCCTTGAGTAGAGAAGCCCCAAACATCTTCCTCGTTCTTCGTCTTGACATTTAATTGGTATTTCTCCAAGCGGTCGGTCCCGGATGAGTACCCCAAAAAAGCACGGGGACCGTGCCCACATGAAACGACAGGTAAGGTTCAGTATGGTTTGTACGACCCTGTTTTCGGTTCAATAATTTGCTTGGGCGAGAATATTCCCTAATCCGAAGACCGTTTCCATCCTTGTTTGTTTCTATTACCCTCTAGATTTGATCCCTATGAAGCATCTTTCTATAATGACGAAAACTGAACAATATTACAAATATCATCTTGAAGTCAATGTCAGGTCCATATACCATGATAACTGCAAGGAATCCAAGACCACAATATTCTCCGACATTCTGCCCTAAACCCTAAACCCTAGGTCTTAGGGTTTAGGGGCCCTTCAAGGTCGAGAGGCGCGGTGAGCCTCACCAGCTGGTGGGTCTTTCTGTACTGATTCTTCTGATGCCTCTCCTGCAAGGATCATCTGAGGTCGAACGCAGATTAGGGTTTAGGTTGTAGATAAATGTAAGGGCTACACGGGGAACAGGGGTACTAAGAGACCATCGCAGAAACCTCATCCTCTTACTGGAGTATTCTGCCTGTGCGGCTTTATGGATTTGCATTGCATCTGAGAGGGCATGTGACTGGCCTGCTGCACCAAGTAAAGCACACATCTCCTGAATCTGCTAGGCTAAAACTGCATTGAATATACTATTCGTACCATTGGTACTGTTAATGCTGCTATCACCCATTATTACCCAATACTAGACTTCAGTGGTTCAAAATCTAACCTCGCTCACAGTAAGCCATTTAGTAAGGATCTGAAGAGCTGTAGTAACTACGAGGAAGCGGCAACTCCACGATGGGGATCTTCAGGGTTCACATTCCTCTGCACAGTTTCGGAAGTACGTGCGTGGCCCATGTTGTGAAATGTCCCAGTTTCAAGACTTCGCTGAGAGATCAGGTGCAGTGGTGAAAGTGCAGGCCTACCATGAAAAGCACACGGCCTGAGCGACGAAACTGAAATCGCTCAAGCATGTCGGGATACTACTAGTACTGGTTTACACGCTGACTCCGATGAGCCAGAGCGCATGCTTCACTGCCAGGTCCGACCACAGACCCTTCTCCTTTTGTTTCATTGTGTTTGTCCTCTTGGTAGCAGAGAACTCGCCAATATATTGTGTCAAAACTTGTCTCCTGAATCACCTACAATCTGCCCAGCCCCAAATTATTCATAAGTACTCTCCTCCTCAAGAGCTTTGTCGAGCTCATATTCGTAGGCATTGAACACCCTCTGCGTCGAGGACTCCCATGTCGCCTCGTCGGGATGCTCCTGACCAATGGGCTGCAAGGGCTTGATGAGGGGCCCTATTCAATTACAAAGGGTTTGGGGGCATATGAGCCATAGTCTAAACTCCTAGTATCCTCTTAATAAACCCCTATACTAGTCCATAATGCCCTGTAGAGCCCCCTTAATGGAGCTTAGACTATAGTTCATATTGTATCACATGTTTATGTTCGTAAGGATTATAAGGGGCTGAAATTGGCCTTGATTCAGCTCCGACTTTGGGCGAGGGTGCAGGATTCAGGTTAAGTGTCTTGGTCGTTCTTTTGATTTTGAAGGGCCACGCATTGTGATCACAGGGATATTCGGAGATTCCTGGCCCGAGAAATTTTGGAGTCTTTTGAGAAGCCCGCCGCGGTTCGGAGATGGAGGTCCGGAAGGGGAGTGATAATTTGCAGGCTTTTCTTTGTTGTCGCTGTGCGAATGCGCCTGCTAGGGGTCTCCTGTAAAGCAATCTCCAGATCCAGTTTGTGCCTTCAAACGTAAACCCACATTGATAACCCATCCAAATCAACTTTGTTGGCTGAGGACTCCGAAAGCTGCACAAGCCAGGAAGCATTCTCCATCAAGAGCAGGGATGTGCTGTTGCAAATTTCAGGCATAACTTGGGAAGGGAGGCAAGTTTCTCTGAAGGGCTGTTGAGTTTACGTAGATATTGTTGCTGTAAGAGACCCGGGCATGCGCTCGTGTAAGATCCCAGCGCCCCAAGCTCCTGCAGGTTTTCGCCTGACTAATTCAGAGCCCCAAAAGTTGCTCTACATGTCCCTAACTCGTGCAGCTGAACTTTGGGAAGCCCAAACGTACAAAACATTATTCTTAGCATCTGACTGTTTTTGGGAATCGCAGCGAGATGAAAACTGCAGAACAAATCGAACTCTGACAAAGAAGTTTCCTACAGCGGCAAAGGACGTCGCGACAAAACAAGTCGCCACGGAACGTCACCAGCACAAAGCCTCGCCGTTGCATGCCTCAAAACCAGTCCGGGTCGCACAATCAGAACATGTCGCCCTCCCATCCAGACATCACCCCCCAAGCTCTGCAATAGATCTATTAGTATGACATGACCAATTAACAGTCCTGACCGCCAAACCCCCCTACATCCCCAAGCGCGCAGGCCTTGAACCATACATCTCCAATCCACAAACCCGCATCGAAACCTTGAAACGGACCCCTGTGCTCTCTTTGTCATCCTCACTTGTCCTTATTGGGTCCCCAAAGGCCCAATATTTCAAAACATCTGACAGAACCCCTCAAGCCTAATGAACCCAATGCCTCGTTGTATGCCAGAAGCATGGCGAAGCGTGCTTCTTCCAGTTTGGACTGGACTGTGACATCCTTGCCGAAGGTGACCTCCAAAAAAGGTTCATTAGGGCTTAGGATTTAGGGCCCCAACCTCTATATATAGACCCTAAACTCACAGGACCGCCTGGGATTTCTGGCATCAACGGGAAAAGCCTGAACTTCGGCTCCTTGTTCTGGTCTACTTGCTGGCGCCTATCTGCTTACAGGGTATATGAAGGTCCCTGAACTAACTTTCAGTGTTCGCACATTAAAGCGGGCTAGAACACATTCAGCTGACCCAATTTCTTGTGCGATTGTGGTGCCTTCTGTCCGTCTAGGGTACTTGAAGTGGATCTGGATCCTCAATAATAGACTGTTCGGGATCCTGATTTCCCTTTCAGTAGAGTCACTCTGCCGATGTCCGCATTCTTGTCTACTCTGCAGACTCTGCAGTATAAGCAAACCTAGGCATGAAAAAATACAGAGCAAGTAGCCTACAAGCAGTTTAGGACCCCCTTGGTCATTGAGATTGCTGGGCAATGGCCAGCAAGACTACTTACTAAAAAGCACACACATCACGTGTGTGAGGGGATTTCATGGCTCTAGCTTTTGAACCTCATGCCGCATGCCGCGCGGCACATGTCTAGGAGAGTCTAGGGTCTGGGCCTTCTCAACCACCGTGCTCAGGTGCGCGACGCACTCAGACTTTCGCAAGACGTCGCAGCTCTTGACGCACTTCCGCTCCAAGTTCTTCAAGGCCTTCAGAAGTTTGCCTCAGGCTTCGTCTCAAAACTAACCTCTTGGAAGCCCCCACACCCCACGGATGCATCATGAGCGAGCCCACATGCTTTTGTAATCCTCCAACCAGGGAAAAGATGCAGAAACAAGTGCCAATCATCTGAAATAGCTGGAACGTGTCAGATGGCTATGCATGCCAGACGTTCGAATGTGGTTCTTTCAGGCGCAGGTGGCCAAAAACCCTAAATCCTTTGCAAGTCAGAGTTGCTTGCGACTTTTTTTGCCGTTGCATCCACCGCCTGCGCTTTTGATACCTGGATCACAAGGTGGATGTGCGGATGCATTGTTCTACATGCTCAAAGATGGTCAACCATTATGGGGCGGCTATATCCAAGAGAGTCCAAGACAGCCTCAACAAGTCTCAACAAGATAGGACTCTCTCCCCATCCCTGCACTTGAGGTACCCTTTTAATCACCGAATTCCTGCCTCTCGAGTCTTCGTCCTGACCTCCTTTGGCCAAGGGTCGTCTTTAGCACAGTCCTGTCGGAAAGCTCAAAACCGTTGTTCCCTCTCCCCCTACCTTCGCAGCGAAAATTGATTGTGTTTCTCTAGCCTGGGTGCGGAGAGAGCTGTTGATCAGTAGATTCGGGCTCGAGATTGGTGCAGGACTGTTGCGGGGGAAGCCTCACGTCACCTGGTGATTCTCAAGCCGAGGTACCCTCAAGAATCCTAGAGACAGACGTGAACCGGAAGAGGATTATTAGGGTCAGCGCTAGTTGCGGAGTTTTGAGAACCTCACACATGAGCTGGCTGCTTCTGGATTGAGGTTGCATCCTGGGCCAAGGGCCTTGAATGAACCCTTAGATCCTTTGGCAAAATTGGAAACCCCTAAACCATGAAGCCAACGTACCCAAATAGACCCTTATATATCCCCTATAAACCCCTTTAAAGTGGTCAATTAACAGGAGCGTCATCAAGAGCCTTCAGGGGGTCTGGGTAACCCCTAAGTATCAGCTGCCTGCAAATATCGGAATATGGACCGCTGTTCTCAAAATTATGGGCCGATTTCTGGTGCAAATCATAAGATGGCACCTCCTTTTGCGGGGGCACTAAAGTGGCCCCCAGCACCTGCCTCGGACAGACGACGACAGCACGGCCGCGTGTTGGAGCAAACAAATGAGGAGTTCCTTGTGGAGATCTGGGGTTCTAGCCAAGGCTATAGTGTCTTGGTTTTATCAGTATGCCTTTTGGGCATGGGGACTTTGGGGTAGCTGGGATCTTGGCATGTTAGCCAAAGAGCAGAGTCTGTTGGCATGGGGGTGGCGTTGTATAGGACCAGACCTTGAGCTAGACACCCAGGGGAAAACTCTCAAGATGGTTCGACAGATGTCTATGGTACTCAATTGAGGCTCTGACACACACAAGATATCCCTCGGAGAATCAATGCGTGCTTGGAAATCATTTATTTGACAGGCAGCCATGAAGCTGGTAGCGGCTAAGAGTGGCCGAGAAAGATGCGTGCGGTATTTGGTAAGGCTCCTCTGGGTGTTGCAACACTTCACGTTGGCACCGTGGCAGTTACGTTGAGGATTCCTGAGAGGGCAGCTGCAACGTGCGATAGCACTGAGACTAGTGCGACTAGCAGCCACTTACAGTCCTGCTAAGAATCACCATGTTACGGCACCCAACATTCTATGCGCTGCAGCTGGCAGAGGAGATCAATGGAAGCGAATGTCGTTCTTGATTTCTGTGAGTAGAACATCTTAAAGTACCCGCTCAGGAACATGAAAGCCATGCAGGCCAACCCCTGAATCCCAAACAGCCTCATTTCTGTGGCCTAAGCTCAAAAGAACTGAAGTAATAAGCCCTATAAGCCTCAGAACCTTGTTCAACCGAACCAGGAAACCCCTAAACTCCACAAAGCCAGCTCAGAGTCAGGGCTTTGCAGGTCAACTTCTCTTCATCCATGAGCTCTCCACAGGCACAGCTGCAAAAGGTACCATGTCCAGTGATGCTGGCATCCTAGGCATCTCTAGTGCTTGGGCTTCAGGACATACAGTAACCCCTAAACCTTGCACCCTACAGCAAAATAGTTGGGGTCTGGATTTGAGGTGTGAATATTACAGTCTTGTTCCAGGGGGATGGTTCCCATGGACCGAGATTGTCTGCTTTGCGTTCAAAAGCTGTTCCCGTGCTGCCGCTATATGCCTGGCAAGCCAACGTTTCAAGACTCGTCTTGTGCCACAAGCGCCAGAAATTTGGACGGGATCTGTTGATGTTGCGATCCATGTCACGGATCCGCATGTCTGTCGGCACTTTGCCCGAAGGGAGATCGCTCGCTGTATCCCAGCCTTCATGCGCCATGCAGTCGGGCATGTTGGCTTCTTGGCAAGCTTGACTTCATCTTTTGCGCGTCGAGGCACCTACGTCGACATAGAGTCGTGTAGAACAGGGCCTGGCAGATGCATCCCTGGGTGGTCGAAATATGAGTTTGCTTTGAAGCTTGGCCTAAGGATCCAGGTATACAAATTTTACCTACATTGGGCCCTGAAGTCTGTAATCATTACCCACATTGGGCTATTTGGATCACTGGGGCTGCACTTGTCGTTCAAGCTTGCGTGAGCCTGTAGTCGGCCACATCAGCACCACAAAGACCAAAACAGGCAAAGCGCACCACAACCCCGGCCCTCCCAACAAAAACCCTTGAGCCTAAATTCGGAGCTCCAAAACCGGAGCCCCCCAAACCCTACATTGCGCCCTGACAGTACCTGCATTTCGCCCTGAACTTATCAACTAACAATGGTGACTTCATATGACTGCGCCCCCACTTAACTGTAAAAACAAGATCCCAGAGCTTAATTAGAACTCCCCGGCTCCGAGATTGCAAAATCCCTTCCGCCAAAATGCAAAAAAACATGAAGCGCCGGCTGCTGGCTAGTACTACTTGAGCTTCAGCTGATGGACCTGGATACGCTGAATTACGGAGGCTCGGGTCCTGGTCTCCAAGAATGTGAAGTGGGAAGTACATGGGTGCCCTTACCCAAAAATCCAAGACCAGCTCCCATGAAAAGGCTGTGTCTCCGAGTCTTTTCGAAGCCGCTCTTCCAAAGTGTCCTCCGGCTCGTCGTCGAACAAGGTTGCTCCTTACAATGACTGGGAAAACTTACCGGGGCCTAGTAGGGAATAAGGGTGTATATATGTATATATATATATCTCTATCTATCTATACATACATATGTATATATATATATATAAATAAGGTCTAGGGTTTGGGGTTCAGGGTTCAGGGTTGGTAGTGGATGAGGGAATCTATTATAGGGTCCACGGTTTAGGGTTAATAGGGAATAGGGGAAGATATTATAATTGGATCCCGAGTAGCGCGGGGGGCCTTAATTGTGCGAAGTTTGGCCGAAATTATTCAGCACCTCCTGATTCGTTTGGGGGCCCTGAATTGTGCTAAGTTGCACGGCAAAAAAAATTGAGAATAATTCAATAGAAACCATTCTAAATGCCTTCTGAAACCCATCTGAGATTTTACCCGGGCCGATCCTGCTCCCTCCTATTGAATTCAACTTACACCTAGGGTCAAGATTCGCTTGCTGGGGGCCCTTTACAGTATTAGGTACCCTTTCCTGTTTGGGGGGGGGCCTACACTAATCAGGACTCCACATTATATGGATTATATAGGGGGGTAATGATATCCCCTGTTTCCTATTCAGAACCAGTAAGGACAAGGACTGGCACAAGCAACTCAATCTGCAAAGACAGCCCACAACAAACAAGGACGTTTGCAAATTCCCTCAGCAAGCTTCGATAGAACTGCTTATCCAGCTTTTCGAGGAGACGCGAGACATCACGGCACTCATAGTATTTGCACTCTCGAGGCGGCGCAGCGCAGTCCCTCTCCAGACCTTGCTGAAAATAGTAGTCCTCCTGCTTGCAGTCCACCGCCCAGAGCGGGCAGCAAATCTTGAGATCATCGGGCTTGCTGCTTTTGGAACACATGCTGTCAATGTAGCCGTAAGTCTTGCTGGTTTCCTTGAGCCACTTATCTTTTGCACGGTTCCCAATGGCTTCGCGAGGTGGCCCGCAGCCACAACACTTGCTGCCACCTCAGCGGCCCAGTTGAGGGTGCAAGATATTGGCGAGTTGTACGGGAGCCTGAAGGTGAAGAGATGAAGTTTTTCAGCTCGGTGCTTCAAAACAAAGGGGGAACATTGCCATATAAGAGACCTGCACCTCTGCGCAAAGGAAATTTGACGAAACTGAACAAACACTTGCCAACAGGCAAGGACATTCTGATATGTATTTGCCAAAACCCCAAGCAGACGGAGTTTTTGCAGGTTTCTGACCATGCGGTACTTGTTTGCAGTGATCAACGACTCTTCTTGCGGCACCCGGAAATCCCTAACTTGAATCCCAAACCCCAAGAAACGTAACCCTACACCCCTGAACCCCAAGCTCCCTGCCTCATGGCCAAGACTACAGTCCCCTTTAAGTAGACACAATATGGCTTTGGGTAGACTATAATAAGATCCTCATACATCCTCTATTTTTCTACTTAAGGGGGGCAATGAGACCCAAATTCTGGTTACCGCCTCTTCAACTCCCTCCACGATACAGCCAAGACACTGAAGGTGTTTTCGCAGGTTCTTGGCAGATTCACTTTGGGCTTGTCGTGGTCACTCGTGTCCTGGACGCTTAGGCACCAGAACAAGGAACATGACAGAAAAATTCAGGCTACCATTTTCCTGAAGAATATGAACGCAAGACTGGGCCCCTTCTACGCGGTGGCTGAGAAGAGTCCAGCCTCCAACTAGGAAAGCATGGCGCGACCCTGGATGTCTAGGCAATGCGAGGTGAAAAAGAAGCAGCAATTTGGAACCCAGCTTTTTAGCCAGAAAGCGGAACAACAGTAGCCCGTACCTCAATACCTAGGAAGAGGGAGAAAGGAGCGCAAATCACCCAGCTTCCATGTTCCCACTTCTGTGGCCTGTACCAAGCCCCAACCCCTACACCCCTAAGCCTAAAGCCTAAACCCGACACCTTAAACCCTAAACCCCAAACCCTACACCCCTAAGCAGTTTAATGTGGCTACGGGACTGATGGACGAAGGCCCTGTGACACTGTGGCCAGTTGCATGAGGAGCAGGGCAGCGGCACACTGCCTCTGCTTTAGTCAAGGGTTCAGGGGTTTAGGGGTTTAGGGTTTAGAAACTCTAGGGATCCAAATAGCCCAAAGGTAAGGAGTAGGTAGGAATGGAAAAGAAACCGGAAACTACTCCGTAGGGCTTGTTGGGTTTAGGAATCCAAAAAGCCCAATCCGGGTAACATTTACAGACTTTAGGGCACAATGTAGGTATTGTTCATTTGTATACTTGGAGGATTTAGGGTTTACGGTTTCAGACCCATTCCTGAGAGTTTGTTTCGCATTGAAGGGGGGAGAGCATGATTAAAGGTATACGTAGCCCTTTGAGTATTAGTCTGGGTTCAACATTTGATGTTGTGGGCGTAGTGATCTAGCTGAGATGGGGTAGAACCTTCACCTTGCTCCTTTTGCTCCTCAGAACTGGGGCAAGAATGACTGGCAAAGATTGCTCAAAACCATCCTAGCCACATCATCAGGCAGATGGAATCTGTGTAGGGCAAGCAAAAAAAAAGCTTAAAACACTTGAGCTGAACTCTGCGGCCGGAGCTGAGCATTCAAGTTTGCCACAGACAGGCTTTGGCGAATTCTTGCAAACTCTTAACCCAAAGCCCTCATTTTATGCTCAAGTGATCGATTTGCAGCAGGTCAGCTGGAATGAAGACTTACAACACGGTTTCTCTTGCAGTGTTCATGGACGACAACACAGAATGTGAGTCTGCGCTGCTAGATGGCAGGAGCCAGATTTCTGTATATCACATACAGCAAGGTTTTGTAGAGTTTAGGCGGTTTAGGGTTTCAGGATAATGGCAAATCAATGAAAAAGAACATGGAACATTGAAATGGAAACTGGGGCATCTGAACTATAAAAGCCATTCGCTTTGGCAGCCAGGGTTCCAGACTGGCATGCTTACAGTAATGACAAGAAGAGTAGTGATAATAATAATAATACTACTACTACTACTAGTAGTAGTAGTAGTAGTAGTAGCAGCAGCAGTAGTAAAACAATAAGGACATTGTACGGCTGGCTCTTGAAAGCCATCACTTCTTGTAATGCAAGAACAAAAGCTGTTGTGACGCAGAAACTACCACAGCAACTCTTTGCAAAACAACGGGCGAGTAACACTATTGTCCTTCTGCTGACATCCAAAAACACGGGGCAGTATCATATAACCCTAATATATACGGGCAGTATCATATAACCCTAGTATAACGCAGTATAGTCGTTGTCATGTTATTTTCATCGCGGTATTCCAATATCACCCCAATATAATAATACATAAGAACTGGCCGTTGTCAACCCCTCACATCTGTAGGGGTCGTTGCACGACATGCTTGCCGATAAGCTGAAGCGCGGTGGGGCAACCTAATCTCTGTTGCAACTTGATAAGGAAATCTTGCTGTTCAGGAAAGTCAATATCATGGTAACTTGATATCTAAGTTCCGAAAAACAGCATCCCAGCTTTGCATCACGACCAAAATTGTGCTCCGTGCTGATGTGCGCGCGTCGGGTCAGAGTGTCGTACACTGGGGTGCTTTTTCAAGCTGAAGGTCGTGGATAGGATGGCAGATGGGGTTTCTCCATGACATTGAAAAGGAGCACTGACGGAATGAATGCTGCTCCTGCAAATTGATTTCTTGTGCAGATTTCTTGCTGAACAATACTGCAGCAGGCCAACTCTCTCACCTTTGTTACAATTATAGAATGCTACAGCTCCGTAGGTGCATCAAAGGACATTTTAGGTTCTGAGGATACGCATGGTCCCTATAGTCCCTAGTCTGTGCTTGCAGACAGAATCAAGGACCTCTTGGGACAGTAAAGCCCCTGGCAGTAGTAGAGATGCCTCATTAGCATCGCCGACTAAGGACTGAACGGCCAGTGTCACATGCTGACCGGAGATAGCAGTGACAAAGACCGGATTGAATCACTAATCAAAGCTTCTTTGCCATGCCCTTGCCTCCAGAAGACTGTGTATGTAATGCTCAATGGCTCATGCATTATGGACTGATCACGCGCTGATGGCCATGAGCACACTTTTCCCCTGTGGCATCTTCCTCTTTGCTCTTCTCTGTCTCGGCTGTGGGACGAGATCGCTCCTGCAGGAGCTTGTGGTACCGTGAAGATCACGTTGGGATTCTGGGTGGAATATCTACATGACTCTACTTGAAGATTGTTACCTGCTCGTGCAAAGGGGCTTCTCCTAGGCCAGCATCAGTAGCTGATGCACAAATATACATGGCTAGTTTCTGGGGTCAATCGTGCGAAGACTCCTTCTGCTTGGATGTGCATACCACATCAGAAAGGGGATAGGCGACATTCATCCGAAGGACTTCAAAAGAGGCTGCAAACTAGGGATACACACTGGTATAGGGAGTTTGAATTGGGGTAGGGGCAGGGGCTCAGGACTCAAGATTGGATGAGCTGACTCATGCAATGGCCTTGAGCTGGCGTAGTCAAGACGGTTTTTGGGAAATGTGAACTACATCTCCGGGACATGCCACACTATACTTTTGCAAGCATCCGTAGGAAAAATGATTGAGCAATAACCCCAATATAACCCCTATATAACTCCTATAATCCCTGTAGTTTCCATTTTCTTTTCCATTATCTTAATATAAAATTATTCCGCTTTGCACAGTACCCAGTTTTGAGCATGTCTGCGCTTTCTGGCTGTGGATTCATCTCACAGGCTCCTACACGGGGGGGATGTCAAGATTATGGTCCCTTTTTGGGTACCCTGTAAATATTAGGTGCCGTATTATAATAGGGATCCAACGAGGGACATAATTTTGACAACTATCCATATATTATGGGTGCGGATACAAGTTTTTACCCTTGAGACCTTGGGTTTTGGCAGTTTTTGCCTTGCATGGGATTCGGGCTTTGGTTCTAAAAGTCTCTGGAGCATGTTCAAATTCAAAGCAGCGCATACTTAGGTTCGAGTAGACCTGCAAGCCTTCTTCCAAATTCTTGGGCAGAACTTTGAAACTTGAAGCAACCCTAAACCCTAAACCCTAACCCCCTGCCACTGCGGCCACAAGGCGACTTCGCAGCCACAACAGCAACATCGTTAGGCACTGCCTTGACAGGCAGCGCTTTGATTGGAGTACCATTTCCTCTGGTTTGCACTGTTAAAAAGGCTGCTTGAAATCTGACTAGGAGTGAAAGATCTTGCTACCCTTCTGAAAAGAAATCAGAAGGTCTGCGTCTGCTTTGAGGTTCCATGCAAAACTTGAGTGGCTTGAACTCGAAGGGGGGCTCCTGGGACTTACAATCAGCAAGTTTCGAAACAAAAACACTGCTCTGGCCGTGCCGTGGACATGCACATCAATCCTTTCCATCTCAGCTAGAGATCACCCAGCGCCACAATACCGCACTGAGGCGCAGTTATGATGAGCTTCTGAACCCCAAGGCTCCATTTCTTAGGAGCCCTTGTAGCAATACCAGCATGATGCAGCAAAGCAGTGCCTGCCCGGCAGACTTCATGGACTCTTGCAGCAGCTGCGCATATGCCACATCCTGCTTGAGGCTTTTTAAAAGGGACAATGCTGGAAGTCTTTTTTGCAAGGTTTTGAGAACGTCCTGAGTTCAGGCAAATAGTGCAATTGTTCTTCAACGTGTACAGGGTCCAAGCTCGAGATAATTTGACTCAACTTCATACAAGCAACACGGTCAGCCTGTCAGGAGGCGAGCAAACCTTTGAAGGACAACTCTACAACAAAGAGGGCTTAGGGAACTTGCAGCATTGCTTACTTTGCACTAAGTTAGGGTACAGCACCCCCCTCCCTCCAAAGCTACATCCCCCCCCCCCCCCC